GGAGGGGACCCGAGCCGCCCCGCTCGCTGCGGAGGGCGCAGGCAGCTCTCCCGAGGACGCCGCGTTGTCCGCACCGATGTTCTCCACAGCAGCACCAGGACTTTGCTGGTTGCTCTTGCGTTTCTCTGGATGCCCTTTCAGCACGTGCCGCGCTGAGCAACGTGTGCTGCGATGTCCCACTGGCCAAGGCCACGCTGTGTCCCGTGCAAAGGGACATCCCTGGGCTCCTCGGGCAGCTGCAGGTTGGCAGGTCAGGCTGGTACTGGAGGAGGATCCGATGCCTACGGACATCTACTGCAGGGAGAGGTGGAATGTGCACTGCAATGTCACACTGCCACTGTCCTTTGTCACCAAGAGCTGGTGGCAAAGGAAGAGCAGCCTGGAAGAGGCAGCAGCGAAACCCAAGACACTACCCAGGACAGAAGCCACAAGCACCGTCTGGGCAAACTGGGCAGCAAGCGAATGCCAGGGCCGGCTTTCCTTGGGATGCGCATTGGGATGAAAGGTGCTAACGGGACCTGAGGATGATTAATCCTTCTTGCCAAAGGCAGCTCCGAGCATCCGGGCCCCAGGACAGGGACGCGGCACCAGGAGGGGAAGAACAAAGTACACGAAATGCAGGGAAGTGCCACAGGACTGATTAAGAAGCAGGGTTAATGCAGGGAATGGAGATGAAAGAAAAGAAGGCAGCGGGATGGGAAACAGGTAGCCCTGTGGGGTGCTCTGTTACTAACGGACTTGGCAGAAACTGGATTGACCTGTCAGTGCCTCGTCAATCCAAGGCATTTTTGCAAAATTCACATCACCAGGACTGTAATCCCAATGGGTCAAGAGAATCTACTGCAAGAAAGCAGAATCCAAACGTCAGCCCTTGCTGAAGCGCATTGCAAGGCAAGGCCAGCCCCCTTTTCCAGCAACACTCGGCATTTCTTTTCCTATAACTTTTCAGATCTCTGAGAGCCCTCAGTTATTCTAGGAGATCAGCAGATCTGCAGATTAAGCACGTGGAAATAAAGTAGTTTGCCCAAGACCAGGCAAGAAGCAGGAGCTGGGCTCCAGTTTTCCTCTCCAGGCACCAAACGTCATGGACACAAAAAGCACCCGCAGCCTCTTCCGAGCAGCGAGCGACATCGGCGCTGCCGGTGCAGAACCCAGTCCCGCACAACCTTTCGGGGCCAACGACACCCAAATAGGTATTTAAGGTGCCTGTAGCACATCTCATAACAGAGGTGACAAAGGAGCAGCCTGTGCTGTGACCCAGCCAGGGACAAGCTGAGGCCAGCGTGGAACAACTGTCCCCCAAAGCAGTGTTTGTGGGCCAGGCTGGTACGTGGTCATTTGGAGAGGGCTCGTGGCTATTTTGGTGATGGCTGGTGTGTCCCTGGGTGCCACTTAGCCCAGGTGGCAACTTCCCCACCTCCACGAGGGTGTTGATAACGTGGAGATCCATTGCAAGGAGAGAAAGGTGCCGCTCTTGAAAAGCCTTGGGTGCAAACACACGGCGACGCTGCAAGGTTCAAATGCAGATGGCATCGCCTTGTGCCAGGCTGCAGAATGCGATGGGGTGACGAGGGGCAGCGGTTCCTCCTGTGCTTGAGCAGCATCAAGCACCACAGGTGGGATACCCAAGCACCGAGTGCCCTGGGTGCGATATCCAAGCACTGAGAGCCCTAGGAGCGATGCCCAAGCACCAGGTGCCCTGGGTGCGATATCCAAGTACCAGGTATCCTGGGTGCGATGCTCAAGCACCGAGCACCCTGAGTGCGATATCCAAGCACCGGGAGCCCTGGGAGCGATGATCAAGGACTGAGAGACCTGGGTGCAATACCCAAGCACCAAGTGTCGTGGGTGCGATGCCCAAGCACTGAGAGCCGTGGGTGCGATGCCCAAGCACCAGGCGCCCTGTCTGCAATGCCCAAGCACTGAGAGCCCTGGGTGGGATACCCAAGCACCAAGTGTCGTGGGTGCGATGCCCAAGCACTGAGAGCCGTGGGTGCGATGCCCAAGCACCAGGCGCCCTGTCTGCAATGCCCAAGCACTGAGAGCCCTGGGTGGGATACCCAAGCACCAAGTGTCGTGGGTGCGATGCCCAAGCACTGAGAGCCGTGGGTGCGATGCCCAAGCACCAGGCGCCCTGTCTGCAATGCCCAAGCACTGGACACAGAACAGGGGCTCCGTGGATTCAGTAAAACCACGAGCATCTCGCGGACAGCACGTGGCCCCACTGCAAATGGAAACGGTGTCAGCGCATCCTTCCCTAGCCAGGGATTCCCAAGGAAAGGCTCCCGTTGAGCAGCTGGCAGCAGTTCTGAAAACCCAAAAGCTTTCGGTAGCCTCTTCTGCAGAGCTGGTCCTGGCAGCAGCACTGCAGTATGAGCCATTCCCGTGTTCCCACGTGTGAGCGGGATGTGGCCGGTGCGGCACCGTTACCAGAGCGAGCGCGTGCCCCGTGCTAGGAACAGAGGAGCACTGGGATGAGCCAGGGAGGACAAGCTCCGGAGAAGGCAGCTTCCCAAGCCGCGCTCTGGAAAACACCTCCGCAGCGGCCGGGCACGGAGAAGGGCTGGTGGGCGACACGGCGCCCGGGGCATCGTGCCGGCGGAGAGGGAAGGACCGGAACGTGGCCGGGGGCACCGTGCCGGCTC